GGTTATTTATAAAGGGAAACAATTAATAAAAAAGAAAGAAAATGTATTTTCTTAATATTTAATCAAAATCAGTGAATTTATATATATGTATATTTATATATGTATATATATGTATATATATATATGTATATATGTATATATATATATATAAAATATATATATAAAATGCATTATATATACTCACTGGTAGTACAATGGCCGAAACGTGGCTAAGCATATACAATATAATGTGCTCTAGTGTATTGATGCAGGGGGCTCGGAATAGAACCTACATGTATTATACGTAAATATATATATGTGTGTGTGTGTGTGTGTGTGTGTGTGTGTATGTATTGTAATGTAATGTAACATACAGCTGGCCTGGTTGTGGACAGACTGGCTGTCATTTTAACCTAGTATATAAACATAGTGAGTGTGTTTGAGCAGAAATGCACAATGTAACACACAATGATCCAGACTGCCTGATGTTCTTTGACACCCAACACCATCATCATCATCATCATCATCATCATCATCATCATCAACATCATCATCATCTCACTCTAATCACCTGGATCATCACAACTCATCCTCAAACAACACAAACACAGGAGGTGGCAAACTAGTGAGGCAGAGGAGGGGAAAGATGATTTAGAGTGATAATTGCATAATCACCAGTTGTGATAATTGTAATTGATGACTGCATAATTGCTAATCGTGCTCTTTATGGAAAGCTCTTCTGTTCCATTGTCTCTTTGTATGTCACTCAGTAGCCCTTCACTTCACTTCCTCTCCTTGAATCTACTTTTTTTATTCTGTCGTCCTTAATTTATTTCCCTCTCCTCAACACATGCTAACTTCTTCTCTGTGGAACACACATACTTGGACGCACACACACCCAGAGACTCACTACCGGGTACTGTATTCTCCAAGGCTTATCTGTAAGTATTTCCCAGCAGCCTCGTCCCAGAGGCTGTGCTCTGCCCACTCTGTTGCGGCATGAAGAGTTATGGAGGAGCGTTAACAGGTTTCCTTTGTCTTTCTTCTCACCCTACTCTGCCGCCAGCTTTACTTCTGCTTGTAAAATCAACCTGTGGCCGAGCCCATTCCCTGGGTAACTGTATCCTTTATCACAACACCGGCTGAAAAAAAAAATAATACTCTCTGCGGCAACACCAGGTCCGAAGCCACATTTCGCCACCAAAAGACAAAAAGGACGAGGATGAGGATGATCCCGGTGTTGTCTTTAGCACTACATTCTCCATACCAAGGCTGTCAGTCGGTCTGAAGTTCAACGAGCTGAAGTTGGATTAACATGGAGATAAAAATGGCGGCCCGATCAGCCCGTGTTATTCACAATGCTTTAGAGTGATTTGCCTAGAGCTACGGTGGGTTGGGTAAGAGTGGGGGAGTAGGCAGGTATATCTTTACACATAGTAGGTGCTAACATGAGAAGGCATCGGGCATGTGTGTGATTGATGCCACAGCCATCGTCTGCGGGCAGGTTAATGGTGTGATTGTTGAGGTAATCTCTGTGTTCTCTCGTTAGAGGATGATGGAGGGCCAGGAGACTCTGAGTGTCTCTGGAAAATGGAGCCCTGGTTCACACCTAAGCAGGGTTTTATGTGTGTGTGTGTGTGTGTGTGTGTGAGTCAGAGAAAGCCAAGGCCTGCCAGAGGACAGTCAGTGAAAAGTTGATGACTTGTACTTGTGGTTCAGCCACCCTGCTGTAGTGGTCATGTAGTTCAGGTGTAGCTCAGGTGGATGATAGTTGTCTTGGGGCCATGGAACACAAACCAGGATTGGATCTGTTTTAAAGTCCAGTACCTGCCACTCTTGCAAAGCTCAGGACCAGAACATGATTCTTGTATGGCCCTGTTAATGTCAAAGTTCTGTGACTTGAGGGATAAAGATGCAATTGTACTCATAGTTTTTTTCTTTCTTTTTTTTTTTTTTTTACTTTCCAGGCATTTTGACACCCTCTAGAATACAGTGGTGTGATCAGAGAGGAGCGGCTGCTTCTCCTCCAGTCCAGATCTTACTCTGACGTCAATTATTTCCTGTGCCAGCTAACAAAATCCATCACCTCCCACAAAGTTACACAAGGAAACTCTCAAGCCTTCACCCTCTATATTTACCAGCGTATTTTATTTGCAGATCTGTACGCTTCCAGCAGGTGGCTCTGCATCTGCTTTAAATAGACAGACATAAGACTAGCCTGTGCCATTCAATGGAGGATGATAATCTTGATCAAAATGCTAGCACATTTGAATTAGAACACCATCATAAATGTATTTCCCGTGACCTGTCAGGATAATATTTTTTAAGCTGGTAAGCTAAAAAGAAGGGGCTGTCAGACAAATACAATTTTAGTCCGATTAATCACAGCACATCAATTACGAATAATCATGATTAATCCAGATGATTCAAAGCTTCTAAACATGCCTGTGCATTACAGGAGCATTAAGGGTAAGGACAGCAGCTAGATGGATAGACCAGGTTATATTTGTGACAAATCCAAATGATGGAATTATTGATAAAGAAAAATGTCAAGAAAAATATGAAAAAGTATAACCACAACACATTTGGTTTCACAGTGTTTCAAAGAGGATTTGAAGTCGTTACTGTCCATCTTTATGGTGGATTGAAAAGTGCATCAAATGCCCTCGTCCTGAACAAGATGAATAAGTCAACCGTCCTTCTTCCGCTGTGGACTTTCCTACTGCCCTGTGCTCAGTGAGGCTGATCTGACTCAAGCCGAGTGTTTGGCCTGAAGTTGAAGCCTCCTCAAATACATGCTGAGAGTTGAGATGGTATTTTAGGCTCCAGGTGCTTCAGTAAACAAAAACCTTGTCCTGCAGTGTGTGCAAATATACACAGATTTACAGTGCGCATCATTCTGCCCAGACGTTACGATGTGTTAACATTTTTTATCTGATAAATCTTCACAAATTAATTAATTAAGTAAAGCGTGGCATGTCATGTGTGAGAGTTGCTTAATTTTTGTATTTATTGTAATGAGTCTAAGCCTCAGCCAGCCTCTGCTATCTTGAATCTTGAGACACCCAGAAGAGTTTCAAAAATGAAGTAAAAGTGAAGTGAAGTTTAGGCTACTTTTTGACTATAAACAGACCTTGGGTCAGATGTGTGACAACGCCATTTGTGGGTGAGTATGTTTAGGTAAATACAGATCTTATAAAGTTTATGTAAGGACAAGACATAATGTTAAAATTGAATTCTTATTTACAGGTGTAGTGTGTTCGGTAGTGTATGTTTACATAAACTTAATTTGATTCTATTTTATCACGGTTATTTGTGTCCAACTTTCTCATTACTCAGTAACTGCCTTAAAAAAAAAAACCCTGTGTTTGTTCTGGTGTCAAGAAGGAATGAAACCAAGCTCTGCCTGAACGATAAGCAGCTGTTGGTGTTTTCCTGCTCTGCACATGCATCATTTTATGACACCAGCATGTATTACACATTTATACTGTTTGTTGACCAATACTGCAACATTAGCATGTTTTTCTCCAGTATGAGTGGTTGGAGGTTATAGTGGGAGGAGAGTGGGTTCAACCGGGGAACATCATGGTGAAACAACAGTACAGTGTAGCAGGGATCTGCCGACTATTGCATCTGTATTGATTGGACTCCTGCCTTTTCCATTTTCCATGAACTCCTCCGAGCTGCTCCAAGTGGGAGTGATGGGGAGGGGGATTTGCTTGATCTTTATGATATTTCTTTAAACATGATGCTGTCGTTATGCTTCCCCTGGGACGACGCCAACCAGCCATTTCCAGTAAATCAAAGGCTCTGTGTCCCTGGCTGTTTTTCCACACACCTTATTTATAACCCCACTAAACAGCCCCCAACACACCACCACCTCCACAACCAGCACCATTCACTTGAAGTGTTTTCATCCTCTGCAAAAATGAATGTTTTTCAAGTGCTCCATAGAGGAGCACACTGGACTCAGCCCATCCACACACTTGGCCTTCTGTCGCCCCCTCCCACTGAGGCTGTAATCAACATTGACTGTAATAATACAATACAGACAATAGGTGACAGTCATTTGAATCCAGGCTGTTTGTGGACTGACGCGCATTTAGAGGAACCTGATCTGACTTTTTCTGAATATGTTTGGTCACCACATGTTTATGACCACTTAGAAACAATGCTGCTGATGTCGGTAAATATTACAACTTGTGACTAATACCAACAAAATTTTATACAACAAATCACATTTTTTATATATTATATTTTTTTTTTGATGAAAGCATCAAAAGCACCAACTTTAACGACAAGCATGTTCATTGTTTATCATGGCGTTTTTTATCTTTCTACTAAATTTACAGATCAGTGCAAACTTAACGGTCAATAACGTCAAATTTTTCCCACTTAAGTAATCTGTACTGGTTTTACACTAGGATGTTAAAACAGGCCTTAGATTTGAATGGGACCAGGTAGCAGTATAACCCACATACCCACCAGTGCAGGTGCCCTCTCCATGGGGCCAGGTGGTCACTAATTCACTTTCTTTGTCGTTCCTAATGAATCATTAATTGGTTTGCATCGCCCACTGAGCTGTTAAAAACAGGTGCCATGTGCTGCTGCAGATCAGGGCCAGTGTCACCGACTGACCTCTCTGTGAAGGAGGCTACCTACATTTACCAGACCAAATGTTGTGTCACAACAGACTGAATCCTAACTGGAAAAAAAGTCATTGTCAGTGTTGACCAATTATTTTTGTTTGTTTTACATGCACTTGAAAAAAACCTGCACGTTTGCTGATCCAGAACCTACAATGGAGTGTTTGTTTTATTTATTGGCAGAGCATTGTGAGACTGACCTTTGCACATGTTGCTATCGACCCGTTGTTAGCTGTTTAAGATTTATAAGCGGGTCCTGCTTTGTTCAAAAGCATAAATTTAATTTTCCTGGCGTTTCAAATATGATGTGAGTTCTAAAAGTCAACAGCTGTGAATGAGTCTGTACTTACTCTAATGGTGTCTCCTCCCCTGCAGGTGGTTGCACTGAACAAGCGCAGTAAGGAGGCAGAGTCGGCCTTTCTTGGAATCTACAAACAGCTTATCGAGGCCCCAGGTGAGTCTCCTGCTAAGGGCAGATATTTTCATTTCCACAAACCCTAGCAGCAACAACACCTCACTAAAAAAACAATAGACATTACCTAAAAAAACCAATGTTGACAAAAATCGTATGTGTCCATAGTCTGTGATTTGGTCAGGTTCGATGTCCTGCAATCACAGTATTTTTTAAATCACCATGAAAAATGGATAATGACAAGTTAGTTAGTAAATGAAGAACTATCATGTAGCTTTATCCTCTTAGTTAACATTTAGCTTTTTATTCTGACTTTTACTTTTTTAACATTAGTTATCTGTTGGTAACATTTTAAACACATTTTAACTGTTAATTGTTTAGGATAATTTGAAATAGCTTTATTTATTTTTGGGTCTTTAAATTTCAATATTTCAGGTAAGTCAGATAAATTTACCATTTTTAAAAATAATTTAAACTTTTTTTTTTAAATTCCTTATTGAATATTTGGGTTTTTACATTATTCTCTGAGTTAAATTATTATGACAAACAACACGTTAATTAGTTACCTTAAAACCTGGTAATTATGAATAAAAATGTAAAAGTGTTGAAATGCCCAACTTTAGTTAATGACTTAATTATAGTCCTGTGCACCACAGAACCACTGTATTTTGTTCATTATTGGATTTGGGCCCACTCTAGAAAAATAAAAGTTTGGACACCCCTGATGGCAATGATGCAACCGCACATGGATGTAAGCTACATAAAACCCTGTGGCTCTTATCTATTTTTCAAAGTACGTTCTCTCGAAATTTCCAAAACTCTGCGTGAGGCCACTTCAAAAACCCCAGCTCTGGTCCTTGAGTGTAGCACGGCTGAGGAGCGAGCGTATCCTTGAGGAGCAGTGCTGCTGATTGTGGAGGACCAATTAAAAGCCCAACTGAAGCCTGGCTTCATATGGAAACATGGGCCTGATGAGGCCAACGGGGGGAAAGGAAAAAAGGGGGGGACAGCGAGATAAAGCAGAGCACAGACATATTGTGTGTTTATTCAGCTGTTATTTCACAGCCGGGGCAGATACATGTACTATGTGTTGCTGCTTGTTGCGGGAGACGGCAGAGGAGACGCAGCCCAATCTCAGTGTAGATCAGAGAAACACTTGTGGCAGGAGCAGAGACGCTGTTTACAGATTCAATGAATACAAGATAAAAGTCTGCTTCAGAGAAAAAAGCGGCGGCAGCGACTGACTTTTAAAGGTCTCCATTTTTCCTTGAAGTCCCCTTTGCTTGATATTGCACCACACACAAACTAACGCACACACACACACTTTGAATAGAGTTATTTCTCTTTGAAGATGTTTTCAGTTTGATTTTGTGACCTATACCTTTTATATCAAGTCTTTGATTCAAGCCAAAACTTCTTGTACGACAGTTTGTCACAGACATGTTTCCAACAAATGTCATGTTATGTAAAAATACAAAACAAAAAAAGTAAAAAAAAAAAAAGAAGCAAACAAATACAGGTTAATACAAAATTCTGAGCTAACTGTCCGCTAATGGAAAAATACATAGGACAGAATCTGCTTAAAATGAGAGACAGTTAAAGGTAGATTTAGCCTCTAGCATACGTTATCTTAAGAATCTAGGCTACAGTGATTAAAGTTTCTTTGCTCATTTAGCATACGTATATTTTTGGACAACTTCTACCTGTGAAGTGGTTTTACAGGGATTTTTTTAGGCAGTGGCAGCAGGTCATCCCAGTACACCCCCTACTCTCTCCCTCCGTTCCCCTCGTCACTGTTGTTCCTGCTTGTCTATTTCTGTCACCTGTTTTATGAGCTAATAAGGGATATTTTTATTAACTAGGATACACACACATTCACACAGAGACTACAAGTTATTATGCTTACTCCAGAAGTATACGATGACAACAAGCACTTAGAGTAGAGTGAGCAACTTGGGTGATGTTTGGAACATAAAGTTATCACAGCTAAATGAAGGGGAATTTAAGGAAATTGTAAACGTCATTCTCTGTCTGAGTTGGTTTTATTTTGGACTGTCCGTAATATTCTTTTAAAAAGATATCCTTCTGCAATTTGTTCATTTGTTTGAATGAACTGCAGCTGGACCCTGGACAGTGACGGGAAAAATGCTGACATCACCGTAGCTCCATTACCATACTAAAGCCGACTTCGGCAGAGATAGCGGATGAGTTCAGTACTTCAGTCTCATAAGGAAGTAAACTTATGGGCCATAATAACCCCAGACATTGTTTATTGATCAACTGAGTGCTGCCCAGTGGTCTGGGACACTTCAGGATATTTGTTTAGGGTACAGTTACAGTTACATCTGCTCCCCTTCTGAAGCAGTGGCGACAGGTAGCAGCCTGCTAATGTACACAACTGTAACCCTGCATTGGATTTCTAAGTAGAAATACAAGATATGTATGTCATTACTAATACCAATTTTGACTTAGAGGACATTTTTATATATTTATATATGTGAATGATTTAATAAGTTACAGTCTGAGAGTTAGGATTTTGTCACATTTTGATGAACTATTTAGCTATCACTAGATTGACCTTGGGATCCTTTGGCATTTTAAAACATCAAATCACTTATAGCTGATTACTTTATGGTTTCTGCCTTATGTTTAGCGTTTTTTCAGGTCAAATAAAATTACATTAAAAATACCATTACAATTTGACGTTCATTTTGGAATCCAGTCATGGGCCAAATTGGACGTCTCAGTGAGCCAGTTTCAGCCCATAGCCCGCCATTTGACAATCCATGATATAAAATATTCCTATTTGTGTTTGGACTTGTGGCCTCATCATAAATGACCCTGATGAAGCGTCCTCCCAGCTCAGTCTGTGTGTAATTACCATTTGCTAACACAGGCAGCACCTGTATGAAGTGTATTCCCCCCTCTGTTGGCTGGGAGCAGCTTCTTTACATTTGCAGCTGCTCTGCCAAACTTACAGTCAGACAGAACGGGCAGCCGTCCAGGAAATCCCCAAGAACAAAAACAAATGAACTGACAGAAAAAAGTTAATGTTGTTGCAGAACAGGAGCATCAGCGGGTTTCTAGGCAGACTTGAGTTTTTGGCAAACACCACAGTTACTTATGTGTGTGCTCTGAATGTATTAGGAACATGCAGTAAATGTGTTTATTCTCACTGTCAAGAAGCTAAGAAACAGCAGCTTCAACAGGTCAGTCTGGATGAACAGCTTCTATTATACTAATGGCCTCAGTGAATGGTGGCCTCCTCATCTCTGTAATTAGGTTACACGACAGCTATGAGGTTTTTAGGAACAAGTCAGCCAATACAGAGTTCAGTATTTAGCTTCCTGCCAATACACATCATATGTTTCCTCTAGATAGGCTCACACATAGTGGTAGATAGACAGGACGTCCAAATTATGTGTCTTGGCCCCAGAATCAAAAGTATTATATTTAATTTCAGTGATTTAGACTCAAAACTCCTGCTTTCAAGTCAGACTAACGGTTGTTGCAGTCAGTTTGGTCCTCTTGGTTTGTCTATGCACCAGGAATGGACAGGAATGAAATACCCTTCCACTAGGTGGCAGCAGATGGCTATTAAAACTGGAGAGAGAGAGAGAGAGAGCCGCAGGGCCATTGAAGAAGATCTGTGTGTGTGTTTACTCAATTCCTTAAAGAATCAGTATGAGTGTAGTGTTCAACTAAACTGAGTAAGTACATTTTGAGTACGTAAATTGAAGCTAGAAAATTATTGCATTTTATTCATTTTTTTTTTCACTAGATGGATTTTTTTGTGGTTCACAAAAGGGTGACACTGAGTTTGACAAGACTTTCATAAACTGTACATATGTATTGTTCCGTAAATGTGTTTCTTACCACGGCGATACTTCCTTCACTGAATAGAAGTCCAGAAGTGATTTTTTAGAACATGACAGTGAGCTTAGTGAACCTCAGCACCAGATTTCTGTCTGACTGTGGAAAAGGAAACCTTCAGGGTGTAGTAGAGAAGGAGACTGTCCTGACATATCTGCAGGAGTGATGTGAAGCTGTCGTGTCAACAAGGAGCAGAAGGAAAACTCATACGAAACTTTTCAATGTCACGTTGGATCAATAACAAATACGGATGAAGGCTGTTTTAACGGCAAAGGAAGGAAGTTGTCAGTGCTCAGAATTATAGTGACAATCCTGATGGAGACTTTGATAAATGTCTGTGCCCTATTTCTGTCTTTCTTTGTTGAACGTTTATGAAAAACAGTAAAAGTCACTCCGACAATGAGACACACAAGTGAGAGAGTCAGTGAATGAGTAAGTTAGGAGATGTAGCTTTACTTTGTAGCTGTGTTTAGAATTGATTAAATAATTGCAGTATTAATTTCTTTGTTTTAGTTAAATGTGGTCTATAAAAGGCCTTTCCACCAGGATTCCAACCAATCACAATTTCAGTCCCACAGTCTCTGTACCTTTAAGGAATTTTACACCACACAACATTGTAGTATTTTACTAACTTCACGTTTAACTATAAAAATAAGACCAAAAGGATAATGATAACGTGTCTGTACTCTGATTACAGTCTGATTTCACTGCCTTCACTTCTACAACCAAACACGTGACTCAGAACAATGACAGCGTTCTCTCTGCCATCGGAGTGAACTACTCATTACCCTATCAGAGCCCTGTGTTTGTCACTGTGCGTAATGCTGCTGGTGTCCAAGGTCACAGCTAACACCCCCCACGCCCGTCTCCCCCTTGGTCTGTGGAATGGATGAGTCCAGATACGCTGGAGGACAGTCATTTGGCCCTGGCCCCACTTCATTTCTCTCTGCCCCTCAAACCCAACAGTAAGCTTTTCCTGACAATTACCTCCCCAACAAATGCTACAGCTCATGTATTTTTAATCTTTTGACAGATGCAATTATTCTTTACACACTGCGCTCATTAATCTTAATGCACCTTTTATTATTCACCGGGGGATTTTTTCCTCTATGATTTCATTTGAAGAGAGACGCTGTCTCTGTAAAGGTGTGAACATGTACAGGATGTCT